ATTGATGTCATCCATAGTTCTTCTGTTTTTTGGTCATTGGTGTGCAATATATCAAATCTATTCTTTAGATGGTCTTTAAATTCAGGAGGGATATTATCAAGGTCATATTTTTGGTCTCATGCTCTTGTTTTAGATGTCTTCAGCAGCAAGTTGAACTTGCATATGAGCAGTTGATGGTCTGTTCCACAGTCAACTTGTAGCCTTGTTTTGGCTGAAGATACTGACCTTCTCTATCACCTCATCTCACAGATATAGTTGATTTGATTCCTGTGTCCTCAATCTGGTGAAGTCCATGTGTATAGCTGCCATTTGTATTGTTGAATATGGTATTTGCAATGAATAAGTTGTTGGTCTTACCAAATTCTATCATGCAATCTCCAGTGTTATTTCTGTCTCCAAGGCCATATTTTCCAACCACTTTTGCATTCCAGATACCAATGATAGTTAACACATCTTTTTTGCTTGATTGATCAATTTCAGACTGCAGAAGGTGATAAAAATCTTTAATTTCCTTATCTTTGGCTTTGGTGATTGGTGTGTAAATTTGAATAATAGTTGTATTAATTAGTTTTCCTTGTAAACCAAAGAAACCAAACTCACTGTGTTCAAGTTGGATCTGATTCATAGTGACCCCTCCTTGGGTTTCCAAGATGGTATCACTATGGTAGTAGATTGTCTAGCCTTCTGGTTCACAGTCAAATGCCTTAGGCACTGTGCCACCAGAGGTCCCAGTTTTCCTTGTGGGCGTATGGATATTATGCTATTACTGACAGCATTGTACTTGAGGATGGAACTTGACATTCTTTGAGATGATGAATGCCATGCCATTCCTCTTCAGTTTTTCACTCTTAGCATAGTAGATCATATTGTTTGATTCAAAATGGCCCAAACCAGTCCATTTCAGCTCACTAATGCTCAGGATATCCATCTTTATGCTTTCAATTTCATTTTTGACAACTTCCAATTTTCCAAGATTCGCTGTTTCTTCTTATCTTGAGATGTGCCACATCAGCAAATGAAGGTCCTGAAAGCTTTACTCTTTCCACATCATTAAGATTGGCTCTACTCTGAGGAGGCAGCTCTTCCCTAGTCCTATTTTTTAAGTGCCTCCTATCTGAGGGCCTCATTTTCTAGCACTATATCAGACAGTGTTTCATGGCTATTCTTAAAGTTTTCCAATAATATATCAGTCAGTGTTTCACTGCTATTCATAAGGTTTTCACTGCCCAATTCTTTGAGAAGTGGATAGCCACTTCCTTCTTCTGAATCTCTCTTTCTCTGGAAGCTCAGCTGAAGCCTTTCCACTGTGGGTAATCCTGGTGGCATTTGAAACACCGGTGGCATAGTCTTCAGTCTCAGAGCAACATGTAAGCCACCACTATAAGACAAACTGACAGACAAGTTTGTCTCCTGTAGCTGTCCAAAGTGTTCCTCTTACTTCCTGGCCTCCCCCAGCCGCTCCAACTCCCATCTGCCCTACCTGGGTTGGTGATGCTTACCAGTACCACCCCCACACGCTCTGACACCCGCTTTCTGGCACCCAGAAATGAAGTATGTTATGCAAACATACTGAGTCTATGATCCTAAGTCTTCAAAACCAGTAAACCAATCCTGTGAGGTTTTTGGTTATGTCTAGAAAATATCTGTAACTATGCCTTCTATTTGTTATATATTTGAATACATATGAGGCACACACACATACATATGCTTACAGGTACTCCTATACATGTACACTTATATACCCAATTGTGTCTTCATATGTGTATATATATATATGTGTGTGTGTGTGTATGTGTGTGTCTATGTATGTATGTATGTATGTGTCTATCTATCTGTCTGTCTGTCTAGGACCTCTGGTGGCATAGTGCCTAAGGCATTTGACTGCTAACCAGAAGGCTGGCGGTTCAAACCCACCAGCCACTCCATGGAAGGAAGATTGGCCAATGTACTTCTGTAGTGATACCGCCTCGGAAACCAAGGAGGGTTTGCTATGAGCCGGATCCAACTTGACAGCAGTGTGTTTGGTTTAGTTATGTGTGTGTGTGGGTGTGTGTGTGTGGGTGTGTATGGATACAAATCTATCTATATAACCACACATATTTATAGTTTTTGGTAAAATTATGTTACTGCATTTACCCAAATTTTCTTGTATTCTTGTGTACTTCTTAATGTTACCATTTTACCTTGGTCAGGTTGTGCAGACTTCACCCATACTGGGTGTTTCCTTTCCCATCACTAAAAATAACCAGTGTCTAGTACCTAGAATGTGATTTGCCCTCTATTCCTGGTAACCACCAAAGAACATTGTTTTCTCTGTGTGTACCTATTACTGTCTTTTTATAAAAGTGGGACCATGCAATATTTGTCTTTTTGTGATTGACTTTTTTTACTCAGCATACTATATACACAAGACTCATCCATATTAAGTTGCAAGGACCTGCCATTATTCTTTATTGCTTTGTAGTATTTGGGGGTAGTGCCAAATGCATTTAACTGCTAACCAGAAGGCTGGCGGTTCAAACCCATCAGCCACTCCTTGGAAGAAATGTTGGGCAATCTACTTCCATATTGATACTGCCTCAGAAACCCAAGGAAGGGTCGCTATGAGTTGGATCCGACTCAATGTTTTTTTTTTTTTTTTTTGAGTATTCTATGTGTGTACCACTATATGTTGATCCGTTTCATCCATTGATGGACACTTAGGTTGTTTCTGTATTTTTGCTATTATGAATAATGCTGCAGTAAAGATCAGCGTGTGTAAATCTAGGTATATACCTAGGAGTTGGATTCCTGGATTGTAAGGTATTTCTATTTCTATCCTTTTGAGGGAGCACAATACCATTTTCCATACTGGTTGTACTATTTTACAATACTAAGCTGTATATAAGAGCTCCAGTCTCCCCACAACCCCACCAGCATTTGTTGTTTTCTTTTTTTCTCCCTGATCAGTGTCGTTTATGCAGGGGTGAGATAGTATCTTATTGTAGTTTTATTTGTATCTCTCTAATAGCTAATGATCCTAAGCTTCTTTTCATGTGTTTGCTGGCAGCTTGCATGTCCTCTTTTGTGAAGCGTCTATTCATATTCTTTGCCTGTGCATGTATCTTTAATTTCTTTTTCTCCCTACAACCCTCTGTTGCCATATATATTGCTAAGGTTAGAGAATACTTAATTTGGACATAGTTAGTTCGATTTTAATCTCATAGGCAATGGTTGAACAATGAAAGTAGTTAAATAAATTGCCATGTAAGTGCACCTATCAATTAACAAGCTTCTAGCATGCATATGCTCTGCTGGAGAGATCCATTTTTAAAAGGTGATAGAAGATAGAGTCTCTGACCTCTACAACCTTATGATCTGGTGTTGGAGAGTTTATAAATCATAGCAGAGATGCATCTGTAAAGCAGTTAAAATGACATTACTGGGCAGGATATGATTAAATGCCAAAATTTTCACTAAGTACTATAACAGTTCAAATTAAAGGAAGTTCATTTGAAGCTGAAGGAAGTAAAATATAGAGTATATGCATGGATTTAACTTTAAATAAGCACGTTATACCCACCTGGCAAATGTGTTCTTTTTAAAGATATTTAAAGCATTTCTCAATTAATTACAGAAAAAAAACCCATAACCACAATTACAACTACAGAATAGGGTTTGAAATGAGCAGAGGGTGATGGAGGAGGGTGTTCCTGTTGGAGGGGAAGAAGAGCAACTGCAGTTGTGAAATAAGCAAGACAGAGGCACCATGAAGGCTGGCTTTACTTTGAACTTGTGAATATTTAGGGTACCTTATAAGCCTGGCTGCCTTTCTTTGAAATTTATGTTAAAAGAATTACGAGGTGTATATATCTGATTATTTAATATTAAGATGTTGATCCTAAGTCTCTTGAGGACAGGTATCTCACACTTTAAAATATACAATATTAATTTTTACTTAACAGGAAAATATTTATTTAATTATCAAAGAGAATAAAGAGAATAGAGCTGAATAGATCTTATTTAAACAAAGTGTGCCTTTAAAAGTTACTTCACAGCTGAAGAATATAACTTTGAAATACTCAAAGTATTTGTCACCTTAGACTTTTTATCTTATCATAAGATATATCTGCCCTGTAAAATAATTTTAAAGGGTTAGGAGTTCCTTACACTGGAAAACCATTAGGAAAAGCCATTTTAAAAAATACCTATCCCTTCATCATTTTAAAAGAATAGTTTCCTTTTAGAACTTAACAACTCACTCTTTGAATACATATCCTTTATTAAATGAATATAAATAGATTTAAAACATTTTAGAGTGAATAATCTTAATAATGGAGCATATATTCCTGATTTTTGTGTAGATTTAGAACTTAATGCATGTATCAATTATTTTAAGAATAATGGTAAAATGGACCTGGATCCAATGTGAGATTATTTAAATAATTCTGAAGATTTTCTGGTTCATGTGCAGTGATATTGAACTCTTTAGTGGTAGGCTTTAATTTGTGTCTGGTGCTGACCTGATGCTGTGCAGGGACACTCACTGCATCCCTTCATTCAGTTCCCTCTAATTATCCCAACTTCCTGGGGAGCTTGCTTTAGAACTGGTCATGAGTGTTTGTTATTATAATATTGGGCTACTCTGGCTACATTTAACAAAGTAGTTTATTTTTATAAAAAAATTTATTTCTACAAATTATTTTCTAATATAAGATTTCTGTATAATTGAACAGACTAGGAAGCTAAAGTTGTTTGCTATGATTTTACTTAATCACTTAGGGAGGAGATATTATTGAAAGTATTTGGTTAGATAGTGTATTAGGCTTGTAATAAATGAAATCATGCTTAATATAGTTCTTGAGCTTGTTTTCTACATTGTTGTTTTGTAGTGCATATTAAAAAAGAGACCTGACAATACAAATGACATGCAAAACATGTGCAATTTCGTATATGTTTGCCACTGATAGTAATTATTTTTTCTGGGAGCATCTGTAAACGTAGAGCTTTTGTCTCTTTAGGTTCATGTGAAAATGGCGGATGAGGCTGTCTGTGTTGGCCCAGCTCCCACCAGTAAAAGCTACCTCAACATGGATGCCATCATGGAAGCCATTAAGAAAACCAGGGCCCAAGCTGTGAGTCTGAATGAATCTGTCTGTTGCAGCTGTATCATATGTAGTAAGCAGATAGCTGGTGTTTGTGTTAAAAAAAAAAAAAAAGATTGAAAATGTTGTTGCGGTTAGTTTGTGTCATAGGAGTTAAATGTGGCCGAATTTGCTACTGAAATCAAAGGTTTTGTAGCATCTGGCAGTGTTGGTTGCTGATCCTGCAGGTGGCTGCTGGATTCAGCTCTCACACCAGGGAGCAGTTTCAGTTCATTTCTAAATTTGTTAGAAAAAAGGAAATCCCAATTAATTTTGATTATTAACTCTTTCAGTGTAATTAGAATATTTTTTGGTTTTGAATTCTGTATCATAAACAGGATCCAATAGACATTGGTTTAAATTCCACTTTAAGCATTTAAAAATTACATACACTTAATTATACTTACGGAAATAAAAATGGTGAATTTGGTTATTATTTTAGCTTAATCATGTTAATAGAATGCACATTAGTTTAGATAGATAAATATATTACTGCCTCCGACCACCAATTCTAAATGGTGTGGACATCAAGGAAAAATCTGGTTCATGGCAAGGTTACGTTGTGGTGGTGGTGGTGGTGGTGTTTTTTTTTTTAAATATCAGAGGAGCAATTACATATAATGTCAAAAACTCTGCAGCATTCTCTCTAAAATTGAATGGAAGCAGCCAACACCAGTAATTAGCCTAGATTGCTTCAATTAGTGTTCACGTTGAAAGACATGTTTTAGTAAGTTTCACATTTAAATAAAAAACTGAATTCATGAACCCATATTATAGATGTTTGTAGTTTATTAGCACAGTTAATGAGGATAAAACTCTTTTAACCTTTTACCTATGGCTTGTAAGCATACAATCTTTTTATCTATCTATCTATCTATTTATTTTTTATTGTGATTTGGGTGAAGGTTTACAGAGGAAATTCACTTTCCATACAGCGGTTCACATATACATCGTCTCATGACATTGACCACAGTTTACCACAATGCAACAGCTCCCCTCCCACTTCCTCCCCATAGTTACCTCTTCCCCGTGTCCATCCCTCCTTGCACTCCTGCCCCCTGAGGTATCTCCCTGTGCTTAAGCAGCCCTTCTTTCTCTCGTGATTGTTCTCTCCAAGGAGTGTATCTACTTGAGGTAAATGTTCAACTCATTTGCCTGTCTTTTAGCTGAAAACCACAGGTGTGGGTTCAATTCCAGATCTGAAGGGCAGCTAGGAGCCATAGTCCCAGTGGTTCCACTAGGCTCTATCGGACCAGCAAACCTGGTCCCCCCCCTTTTTTTTTCCTCCAAATGATTTTGAGTTTTGTTCCACATTATTCTCCCTCTCTTTCAAGGATCTCCTACATAGATCCCCTTCCAGGTGGATGACAGTGGTAGCCGGGTACCACCTAGTTCTTCTGGTCTCGTAGTCATATAGGCTGCAGATCAGATGGTGTACCAGTCGCTAGGACTAATTGTTTCCATGAATTTTGGTTTTCTTCATTCTTCTTTGCTCTGGATGAGGAGAGACCCATTGTTGCATCTAGATGGCAGCTTGCTAGCTTTTAAGATCCCAGTCGCTACTCGCCAAAGTAAGAGGTGGAACAATGTTTTGTATAGTATGTTATGCCAATTGAGCTTGATGTCCCCTGCAACTATGGTCCCAAGTCCTCAGGTTCAACTACTTGGTCCCTCTGGGTAGCTGGCTGTGACCAAGCCGTGACCACAACCTTGCCCCTTGTCAGCTCTATACACCTGGGAATTCTGATCATTCACATAAACTTATAGAACCATTGTCTTAAGCATACAATCTTTAGTTGAATGTTTATATAAGATGAAATTGGTAGAGCGAAACTCTTATAATGCAGCAGTTTGCAGTTATTCTGTACCATTTTAAAGCTCAATTCTGCACTAAAAATACCTGATATATTGCTGTTTCTAGAGTATGATACTGGCTCATTGGCACATCCAGAAGTTTGATTTTTCTCATAATAGAATTGTTTTACTAAAAATGAGCTTAACAGTGATCAATACTAAACCCCAAATCAAACTCATTGCCACTGAGTCGATTCTGACACATAGCAACTTTATAGAACAGAGTAGAACTTCCCTATGGAGTTTCCAAGCCTCTAAATCTTTAAGAAGCAGACTGCCTCATCTTTTTCCCATGGAATAGCTGGTGGGTTCAAACTACTGACCTTTTGGTTAGCAACTGACTGCTTTCCCAGTGTGCTACCAGGGCTCCTTGATTGACTAATACTAGAGCAGCTAAATTGATATTGGCCAGGGTGGTAGAGTTAAAACTTACCTTATTAAAACAGAGTGGTAAAATTAGGTTGTAGCAATTTGGTTTGTGAGACATGGCATAAAGGAGTTGCAAATAGCTAAATTTGGAGTGAGGAGGGAAAGAAGAGTAGATATTAGAAGAAAAACGTTCAAATTACAAAGTAAAAGTAAGCCAAACCTTTGTTTTAGTTTTGTTTGACAGAAGTTATTTATTGAGTAATATGTGAGTATATTAATACCATTAGGAATAGATTTATTTGTTGATTGGCTTAGTAGCCAAGGTTTTAGAAAGCAGTAGTTCCTGGTGTTATAAAGGAAGGAGGATATAGAGTTTTTCATACATCTTGCAAAATATTTATTTTCATATATTATTTAACCTATCCGCTGTTACAAAATTCTCCACATTTGTGACTGAAGTTAGCTTCAGAAAAAGTAGGGGGAGTTTGAATTGTGTTGAACTATGCAGTCAAATGTGGGTCCTCAGGAAATGTCTAGGTATATACATGGGTCAGGTTATTTTCAGGACAGAGGTAGTATATAGGAAGTGACTATAATAGGGAGTTCTTGGAATTTGGGTCTTTGCACAAGGAATGTGAAGGAGAGCTCAACCAGTGTTTAAGAGTAGTAATCTTATTCAAGAGGCTTTGAACAATGAAAACATTAATAAACTGTATGCTTTGGGGAGCTTTGGTGGTATATGCCTAAGGCATTTGATTGCTAACCAGGAGGCTGGCGGTTAGAACCCACCCACCACTCCTTAGAAGGAAGATTGGGCAATCTACTTCCGTAGAGATACTGCCTCGGAAACCCAAGGAAGCATCACTATGAGTGATGTGATGGCTGTGACTTTGAGTTTTTTTTTTCCTAATACTTTGATTGTTAAGTTTTTTCAATGTGATAAAATTAAAAACGCTTTTTGTTTTCATTTTCAAGGTACATCCAGGTTATGGATTCCTTTCAGAAAACAAAGAATTTGCTAGGTGTTTGGTAAGTAATTGTTAAATGGAGAAGTTATACATGTAATTAATTATACCTAATTTATTATTTAATGGGAGCTCTGGTGGCATAGTGCCTAAGGCATTTAACTGCTGACCAGAAGGCTGGCGCTTCAAACCCACCAGCTACTCCTCAGAAGGAAGATTGGGCAATCCACTTCCGTAGAGATACTGCCTGGGAAACCCAAGGAGAGGTCACTATGTGTTGAGTCAATTTGACAGCAGTGAGTTTTTGGTTATTATTTAATACCTGGACTTTAAATTTCAATTAAATAGTTACTCACTGGATATTTGTAATGCAAATTTAATTTGAGGTTTAAAATATTTTATGATTATGTTTATTTAACCAATGTGTTTATACTTTTATTCTAGTATTACTGCTATTGAGATCCATTACCCTGGGTTATGGAAGCATTGGGACCATGGACCATAGATATTTATTAATACTGTTTTCCCAACTTCTTTTTTTTAATTTAATTTTTATTGTGATTTGGGTGAAAGTTTACAGAGCAAATTCATTTTCCATACAGTAGTTCACATACACTTTGTATCATGACAGTGACTGCAATTTTCCACAATGCAACAGCTCTCTTCCCACTTCCTCCCTATGGCTACCTCTTCCCTGTATCCTTCCCTCTCATGCACTTCTGCTCCCCGAGTTGTCTTTGTGTGTTTACATAGCCCTTCTATTCTCCCATGATTGATCTTTTCAAGGAGTGTGTATCTGCCTAATGTAAATGTTCAGGTCATATGCCTGTCTTTTGTTTGGCTGGAAGCCACAGGAGTGGGATCAATTCCAGACTTGTAGGGCAACTAGGGGTCATAGTCTCAGGGGTTTCACCAGGTTCTATCAGACCAGCAAACCTGGTCCCCTGCACCTTTTTTTCCCCTATGATTTTGAGTTTTGTTCCAAATTGTTTTCCTATTCTATCTATGATCTCCTACATAGATCCCCCTCCAAGTGGTTGACACCATGTGGTAACCAGGCACCATCTAATTTATCTGGTCTCATAGTTGTATAGGCTGAGGATTGCATGGTGTCCAAATCCCTTGGAGTAATTGTTTCCATGTGTCTTTGGTTTTCTTCATTTTTCTTTGCTCTGGACGAGGAGAGACCCATCATTGCATTTAGATGGCCACTTGTAACCTTTTAAGATCCCAGTTGCTACTTGCCAAAGTAGGATGTGAAACAATGTTTGTGTAGTATGTTATGCCAATTAATCTTGATGTCCCCTGTGACCATGGTCCCGGGCCCACAGGTCTAACTGCTCGCTACCTCTGGGTAGCCAAGAAGTGACTACAACCTTGTCCCTTGTCAGCTCTACTATATACCTGGACATTCTTACAGAACATACAAGCACACTTGTAGATACATTGTCTGCCAATGCTATATGTGATCATTTTTTTCCTAACATTTTTTAAATGAAAAACGTAAGGCATTCAGAAAAGTTTAAAGAATTGTATACCATGAATACTGGCATACCATCACCTAGATTCTACAAATTAACAGTTTGTTATGTTTATATTTTTGTGTGGTATGAGGTAAGTGTCTAAATTCAGTATTTTTTTCAATGTGGCTATTTAGTTGTTCTATACTATATCTTGTGAAGACAGTCCTTTTCTCTTTGAAATGTCTTGGCACCATTTTACAGAAAAACAACAGAACATATATATGTAGGTAGTTTCCGTACCGCCTATCAAGTAATGTATGTCTTCTAACTTTGTTCTTCTTTTTCAATGCTGGCTTTTCTTTGTCATTTGCATATCCATATACATTTTAGAATTCAGTAACTAATTTCTTCTAAAAAGCCTGGTGGGATTTTGATTATGATTCTATTATCAAATGCCTTAGGCACTACGCTTTCAGACCTCCCTATTGAATATATCCCACCAGTGTTCCTGTTATTGAATATATAGATATTTATAATTAAGAGAGGACTGGGCAGTGTATTGTTCTGTTGAACATAGGGTCGCTATGAGTCAGAGCCAACTCGATAGCACCTAACAACAACAACAAGAACATAATTAAGAGAGGTAGAGTCCAGTTGAGTTAATTGCTTGCTAAAAGCAAATGAACAAAAAAAAAAAAAAAAAAAAAAAAAAAAAAAAAAAAGAACCTTGATAGGAACATAAAATAATTTAGGTCCCTATATTTAGGACGGGAGCTCTGGTAGTATAGTGCCTAAGGCACTTGACTGCTAACCAGAAGGCTGGAGGTTCAAACCCACCAGCCACCCCTTGGAAGCAAGGTTGGGCAATCTACTTCTGTAGTGATACTGCTGTGGAAACACAAGGAGGAGTAGCTATGAGTCGGGTCTGACTCAACAGCACATTACAACAACATGTTTAGAATATCATTCACAATATATAACACATACTCAAGAGAAAATACAACCAGTAGGGATGGACACTAAGATAAATATTAGTTTTAGAAGACAAAGATCTTTTCCCCCTTAGAATTCTCCTTTTTTGAAGGGAAAAATATTACAGACTGTCTATCTTGCTTTAGCCCAAATGAAATAACCTCTACTAATTAAAGAAACCAAGCTCTAGATAATGTGTCCTTTTAAATATACTTTGTTCACATCACCTTCCATTTACCTCAATAAACCTACTAGTCCTCACTTACGATATCGTGGTTTGACAGCCTCTTCCTCACCAGAGACTGTAATCTTCTTTCTCGGTACTGCATTACTTTAGCAATCCAATTTAAACATGTAGCCAAGGTTTGTCCAGGAATTAAATCTCTACCTGAGAGAGGATGTTAATATTCATTCTTATTTCTACACATATCAACTGTTCTGGTTACCAGGCGATGCTCTGACAAGAATATACCACAAATGAGATGGCTCAAACAAACAGGAGTTTATTCTTACAATTTGGAGGCTTTAAGTCCGAGTTCTAAGTGCCAGGCTCTACGGGCTGGGTGAAAGCCCCTCGACCTTGGGCTTCAGCTCTGCCTCTTGCTCCTGGCCCACTGAATCGAGAGGCATCTCTCCACTCAGGCACCTACTGGCTGCTGAGGCTAACAAGCCCAAGGTCAACAAATACATCGGCACAGTCCTGATGTTACCAAACCACACGTTGTTGTTGTTGTTATGTGCTGTTGAGTCAGACCCGACTCGTAGTGACCCCTCCTTGGGTTTCCGAGGCAGTATCACTATGAAAGTAGTTTGCCCCATCTTCCTTCCAAGGAGTGGCTGGTGGGTTTGAACTGCCAGCCTTCTGGTTAGCAATCAAGTGCCTTAGGTACTACACATTAATTCAGGTCCGTTGAAAGTCCCAAAGTCGGCAGAATGGCGGCTGCTGAACAACAACATGGTTACATGCGAGGTTCAAGCATGCCATAAGCTAGAGACCATTCCCAAAGCTGTTTCTTATATATGGGAAACAGACCAAATACCCAAAGGCAGCTACTCAGCTGCTCACAGTAGATTCTACCATGGAGTTGATTAGCAGTCTCATCATGGGGAGTACTACTTCCAGCCACCCAGCCACTCAACCAAGTCTAGCCTAGTTGACACACAATGTTAACCACCACATCAACCATGGTGAGAGAGGCTCCTATGTGAAATCCAAGTGCTCTCACAGAAGGGTGTGGTTTAAGATTACACCAGTCGTTAAACATATAGAAGATGTGAAATATAGTTCAACTAGGGCTAAAATAAATCATATTTTAATTAGGGATATTAACATATATATTAATAGGAAGTTCTGCTTTCGATGGAGTCCCTGGGTTGCACAAATGGTAAGTGCTTGACTCCTAACTGAAAAGCTGGCAGTTCAAACCCACCCAGAGGTACCTTGTGAGATAGTCCTGGCAATCTGCTTCTGAAAGGTCACAGCATTGAAAGCCCTATGAAGTAGCTGTGCTTTGCACATACAAGATCATCTGAGTTGGAATTGACTAGCCAGCAACTAACAGCAACAACAACAAATTCTTTTTTTTTCCACTTTCTTTTAATTAATGAATTATTTTTTTAAAATATTAAATATCTAGCAGTGTTCCTTCCCATCCCGTCCCACCCCTGGTAACCAACAAAGAAAGTTTCCTTCCATATATAAACCTCTCCTTGACTTTTTACAATAATGGACTAATACAGTATTTGTCCGACTTACTTCACTCAGCATAATGTCCTCCAAGTTCATCCACTTTGTGTGGTGTTTTGTAGATTATACATAGTTCTTTAGTTTTGCATAGTATTCTGTTGGGTGTATGTACTGTAGTTTGGTTATCCATTCTTCTATTGATGGGCACTGAGGTTGTTTTCATCCTTTGGCTATTGTAAATAGTGCTTCAATGAATATGGGTGTGCATATGTCTGTTCTTATCCTGGCTCTCACTTCTTTAGGATATTTACATAGTAATGGGTCTACTGGATCAAATGGTATTTCTAATTCCAACTTTTGAAGGAATCGCCATACTGCTTTCCACAGTGGTTGTATCATTTGACAGTCCCACCAGCAGTGTATGAGAGTCCCAATCTATCCACATCCTCTGCAGCTTTTGTTATTTTCTGTCTTCTTGAACTCTGCTATTAGTTCTAGGGTTAGATGGTATCTCATTGTTGTTTTGATGTGCATCTTTCTAATGGCTAATGATCACGAACATTTCTTCATGTGTTTGTTGACCACCTGGATATCGTCTTTAGTGAAGTGTCTATTCATTTCTTCTGTCCATATTTTAGTTGGATTACTTGTCTTTTTTTGTTGCTGAGGTATTGGAGTTTACGTATGTGTGTGTGTGTGTATATAAGGAAGGTTGGGCAATCCTACTTCCGTAGTGATACTGCCTCGGAAACCCAAGGAGGGGTCGCTATGGGTCGGGTTTGACTCGACGGCACATAACAACAACAACATATATAAAAATGTTAGAGAAAAGTCCCTTGCCAGATATGTCATTGCCAATTTTTTTTTTTTCCCAATCTGTAGGTTCTCTTTTGACTCTTTTGGAGAAGTCTTTTGAAACACATAAAAATTTAATTTTTAGAA